TTATTTAATTAAAAATTTTTTAAATTTAATTTTGTATTTTTTGCAATAATTATTAACACTTGCTTCTAATATTTTCATTGTAATTACTGTTTGGAATTTAACTTATATGTACACTTTTTTAAATTTTTTAACATAAATATTCGTTAAAAGAAAAAAACTCGAAATTATTTTTTCGATTAATTCACGTGCATATATTTTGTGTTCACCGCTCACTTCATGCTCTCCAAGATCGATGTTGCCAGGACTGACAGAATTGCAGAAATTTAAGACGTTCAAAGAAGAGCGACTAATATGTGTCTGTTTAATATTACGAACGGTTGCCGCTTTTTTCATTTGACGTTACTCTTGTAATATTTCACGTTATAAACAGAAATTTCATGTAATACCTAGTGGATCATTAATGAAAGTTACGTTTTTCATATCATTAGTATGTACATTGCGTGTACAAATAACTGTGTTATCGATCATTTACATTTTGTCGTTGCCATGTTTTCAATTTTGTGCAAGTAGCAAATCGCAAAGTACCACGTGATTATCGTTTACAAATGACCGTTGTGATGAGTTATTGTGTTCGAAATTATGAAAATGTGAATGATGTATGGTACATGGAAGCCCTGTTTTTTTATAGGCGATTGGAAACGTATATGTAATTCTTCGTTAAACGTTTAAAAATTGATTTTATAAAACATATTTATAAAAAATGGCGTCCTAAATTAGGTTATAAATACGTTGAAACTTGCCTAACGTTTTTTCGTAAATTCATCGTTTTACCTACGTCAGATTGTAATTGTATTAAATATTCTAATGTAAGTTTTTCTATAATTGAGCTTATAGTTTAATTACATAACTTCATCATTATTTTCAAGTGTTATACGTTCAAAATACAAATTGTTTAATTTATTTCATAAAATACGCTAACAATTAAATTTATTTCACTTCAATAATAAGAAATAAAAAAGTTTATAATAATTGAAGATATTTACATTCGTATAATAGTAATTACAAGCAATTATTTATTGTTAAAATCACAATTTTTAAATAATTTTTTAAATACATATGTTTAGTCCTGATAAATTATATTTGTAGATTGACATTTATTATCCATATTCACAAGCATGGACAAGGTTGTAGTAATTACATATAAATCCATTACTATACAACAATTATAGAAATATGAAAAGCAGTTCCAAGAAGGAAGATATTAATGTGAAAAAGAAATATGTCTTTTTTTCTGATCCTGATATTGTTGTTCAACGTGCTGAAACATCTGCAGCGGTAAGTTAATTTTATTAGTTTTACTTTGTATTTTGTACTATTACTTTTTTGTTCATATGGGACCAGACCTGTGGTTGGATAAACGAATGGTCAGTTAATGGAAAAGTATATGTCAAATATGATTTATAGCTTGTCATTAAAATAAACTATATATATATAATGTTTATTATTTACGTATAAAATATAGATATAATATGTAATAACATTATATGTTCATGTGAACTAACTGTGATCAAAATACAGTTAAGAAATTATAATGTCATTACACTGCAGTGTATTCATTCTTATCTAAAAATATCTTTTGCTAAAAAAAAGTCTGAAAAATGTTAGATTAAAGTTTCCTTTATGGTAAATACTATGAACCATGAATGAGCTGTGTAACATGGATTGTGTCAATTGTTTTCTTGTTGGGCCTCCCTACAAAAATGTGGATCATTAAAGCAGAAATTGATTAAAGTGGATCCAGATGATAGGGAATCTACTGTAACATGATTATACAAATGAAAAGCATTATAATTTACATTATTAAATTATAATCTAATATATAATTTCAGGCAGCTCAAGTTAAGCAAGATATTGAATATCAACAACAGCAAGATTATATTGCCAAGCAAATATCTAAAGACCAATCATCTCATTTGTCAGTTGAATTGGACTTGAAAGGTTTAGAAAATTTATTATCATATCATGCTGTTCAGTCATACCCTTTCACATTTATAAGTGCTGTAAAGCGAAAACTTGCTTTAGATGATGGTTCTGAAATCTGTAGAAAGACACATGAACCAAATAATAAAAATGCAGCTGAATCTGTAATGGTATTAAAATCTGATAGTATTCAGAATTTACATGAGGTCGTACAAAAAATGGATTTTATAAGACCTTTAAAAGTTCCAGACTTGAAAATTTCTGCAAAGAAATTAGATTTCTCTAATAGAGAAAATTGTGCATCAAAAGAATTAATATCACCAAAATTTGAAACACCTTCAAAGGAGCTAATTCATGAAAGAGTAGATAAACCAATAAAAAGTTTTGAGCGAGTTCAAAGAAGACTAGATTTTTCAACATCAGATGTATCATCAACTATTAACAGTGAAATAGAGCCACTGAAGGTGCCAAATATTTCTATATCTTCAAATTTATCAAAGAAGAAAGAATATGTTAGAGAAAATTCTAGAGAAAAGGAAAACAGGTCTAAGAGAATTAGAAAAGATGATTCTTTATTCTCTAAACAGGATGAGATAACACAATTCTTTTCTAAAAGATCTAGGAGTCCCAGACATGTTTCTAGGAAAGATTTTTCTAATAATGTTAGTGAAAATGTATTAACTGGAAAATTAAAAAATGATAGATTGCCATTTCATATGCCAAGGGAAAGTGATTTTGTTCCATCAAAACCAAAAACAAAAAATTTTGCAACATCAACTACTAAAAAAGTTAGAGATAAAAGGCATAGATCTATTAATACTAGATCGTTAAAATCAAGAGATACCTCTTTAGAATCTAAGAATAGATCTTATAGTAATGAATCACTTTGGGAACAATGTACGAAAATACCAGACAAAGTTACAGTCAGAGAGTCTAGGAATATGTTCGAAAATTTTGATTATAGATATAAAGATGATTTATATATGTTAAAGCAAGTGGATCATCAGAAACATGTATTTTCATCAGAGAATAGGCAAATTAGACAGCATAAGATGACATGTCAATCTCAAGGAAAAACAGGAAGTCCACTGTTTAAGGAACAAAGTAAGAGGTCTGAAAAAGTAAAACCTTCAACAAGTAAAATGGATAACAAAATGTACATAATGAACTCCAAGGAGTCTGAAGGTGTAGAAAGTGTAACAGATTCGAATGTAAGTGTAAGAACTCATAGTCCAAGTACTATTTCCACACAGCAAATAAAAAACAAAGATTCTGAAAAAGTTGTACAAAGTATTAATGTAGGTAAATCAAATAAAACGACTGAAGATTCAAAATATACAGATGATTCTTTAACACAGTGCACTAGCGTGAACACAAAAAAAGAAGAAGAATCATTTACACAGAGTATTGCTACTACAGTTAAGCAAACGAGTAATAGCAATGAATCGAATTTAAATGATAGTGTATTGTCAAATGCATTATTAGATCCAAGAAAAATTTCATTCAGAGATGAAAATCGTTCCCAACAAGAGGAATTTTGTGATTTAATAACACCAGATATGAATCTTATGCCTCGATCTAGACGAAAAAGGCAATTTATACAAAACAGTAATATAGAAGCTGATTCTAAGTGTTCAAAGCATATAGGTAAAACTGATTTAGAACAAGAAAGCATTCCATTGGTAAGTGCATACACAATATGTATAAATATACATATTCTTCTTATTTAGTTTATAATTATGCTACAAAGATGCTTTTATAATTTTAGTTACATCCAACTGCCTTACATATGCAATTTCAAGCTGAATTGCATCTTCTTGATTCTTTTAATGAATCATTGAGACAGGTCATGGAAGTTGAACAATGTTTATACAATGTTAAACAAGATCAAGAAAAAGAGTTACCATTACAGCATAGTCAGTCAAGTGATCCAGTAAAATCGCATTTTTCTAAAGCGGTAGATGAAAGAAGCATTGATGATGTAGAACACTGCAATGAGACAAGTAAATTGCACAAACTTGTTAGTACTGATAAAGGTGAGGAATTAACATACTTTTTGTTATGGTGTATGAGAAACATCAATTACTAAATGAAATACTAATATTGATACAGCATTTTCAAATCACACAGTACATCATACTACAAGTCAAACTATGGCAAATGAGTTTGATAATCTAAATAAAATAACTAAACCAGCAGTTAAGGCTGTAGAAGTACAAACTCAAACAGTGAATGATATGGCAACACAAACGGATATACGTTCAACTCGACGAAATATACAGAGTAGATGTTCAGAAATATGTGGAATACCGTATGAACGAGGATTCGTTGGCGATAGTGAAGTCCCACATCTCTCTTTAGATTCTGTGGAACAATTTGAAGATTTAGATCAAATAGAAGAAATATCGTTGCCCAGTAAATTAAGAACAATGTCGGAAATAAGTTTACACGAAACCACGTCATCTATACGAACAGAAACTGGTACTGAGATCAGCATTTCTACTCGGGATGTAACTTGTTCTTTCAATAAATATTTAGATCTAGAGGTAAGTGTTGGAAATTCAAATTTCTCCATAGAAAATGAATTGATATTAAATATATCGTGTATTTATAGATTGCACAGTTAATACAGGATGAGAAAGAGAGAAACGATAAAATCGAGATGTTATTTAAATCTCGTGAAAAGACGTTAAATGATCGAACTAAAAAATTAGTGAAATTAGAGGAGCAGAAACGAGCATTAAGGGATACTGGCCAAGATAGTCGTGTTAGCTCTGTGAAAAAGAAGCAAAGAGCTTTGTTGTTAAAGTTACAACAAGAAAAAGATGAAATGAATAGGTATTGTATTTCTTCGTATGTAAAAATATTTTATTTCTTTTTCACATAAATATTTCCCTTTCATAATCAATTTTCTGTTGTTAGATTGAAAGAACTTCACAAAATTGCAAGTCAAGAACGCAAGCTTATGTTGCAAAAGCAAAGAAATATGTTCAACCCTCAAATGTCTACTAAAAATATTTTAACAAAACTAAAAAGAAGCGCGGATAGTCAATCCCCACGAAGATTATCTGGTCCGATGAAGGGTTACGATATAAGAAGTAACAGTTCTATGAGTTCTTTAGTCGATTCTGATAAATCTCAGCATGATCGATCTCAAACAGACGCGCGTATGCAAATGTCAGAAAACGAGTTGCACTTCTCGAAAACTGATCTGCCGAAAAGTAATAAATTTACGAATTTCGTCGAGGAACCTAATGCTGCGTTTTTACGGTTCGACAAATCTAACGAAGCTATGCAGGGTAATATACCCCAAGAAAAGTGTCCTTATAAAACGCAGAAAGATGGAATTAAATCCAAGTATGAGATAAAGTCGAGAAAATTCGAGGAAAAGATGCCTAGAACAGACGTTATAAGACTGAAGTCACATCAACACTCGGTTGATCCAAAATTAATATCGAATCATTCCATGAGCATTCCTGGGAAAAATCTTTTCGAGAAAGAAAAGTCTCCCAACATATCTGAATTATTGCAACAAAATTTAAATAAATCTATCTCTGAACTGGCTAAATCAGAGTCCGATACCGTGGTGGAAGAATTGTCGAAAAAGTCAAAACCCTCTCAGGTAATTGATAATCATTTTCAGAGTATTGTATCACCAAGAGAATCTTTGAAACCTACTGCCATGAATAGCGAAATCGTGTCCGAAGAAGTAAGTTCCGCCAGTCAAGACACCGTGTCAAAAACGTCCATATCGTCTCAGGTCTCTGAGGATATTTTACAAACACATTCAAAAAGTTCTAAAAGAAACAGCAAGTCAATTCCGACTGATATGTCTAAAAAGACTCAATACAGTTCCGAATCCAAGTCAAATTTCAAACGTAGAAGCTTGAAGTGTCAGAAAAGTAAATCATCGTCCAGTATACTTACAGAGAATATATTACGCTCCAAATCTAACTCTCAAATGTCGGAAGAGTTTATCAAGCATCATAATAAACGAACAAAAATGGAAAAGGAGTTAATTCAACTCGACAAGAACGACGAGAATGCGCTTATGGACAAGCACCCGAAAGACAAGAATTTAAAATTACTGACAGACAGAATAGACGATTACGACAGCAAAGAAAACGTGTTGTGTCAGAAGATGTCGGACAAAAATGTGGAGGCCTACGAGAATTCCTTTCGCAGTTCGGACAAAAACGCGCACAACTTCGACAACGCGCCCATGAAACCTCAAATTAGTAATTTCGCCATTTCTCATCACAGTTCCGGAGAAAGTGACATAAATTACTCGAAATCCGTGGTCGTCAGGTCGCAGGATCATAATTTGAAAACATCCAAAAAGCTCGAACAGTAAGTACACAGTGTTTCTTTGAGTTAATGTAAATCTATTTATACATTTCACTGTTATGATTTTGAGAGGCGTTTCTGATATAACGTTCGAGCTGAATTAATAAACTTGCGAATCACTAGAGACACGTGTAACAGGTCTAATAATAGACCACGTATTCACACCATGAAGTGAAGCATTGTAAAAATAGATTTGGTGCACCGGCGATGTGCATTCTGCTGTTATTGCAGTATTCCACTCTGGCAAAGAACATTCGGCTCCATTCTTGTGATTAGACAATCTTTTCCATATTATTCCAAACTTCTTTGGGATTTTCACTTTAACTCACTTTTAATTAATTGAATTACTATGGAAAGTGCATTTGTGTTACCGGATGTGATTACGTTTTTCAGAATTCTGAACGCACGTGAAGCTGCGCTCACTTCGCGCAAAAATTGTGTGGAAGAATGGATGGCTTGGCATGCAAAATTAAGAACGGAAGAAGATCGTGTTGCACGAATGGAACAAGCTGCACTGAAACTTGTGACAGCAACGTCCAACGTTTTCTCTCAACAAGGTAATTTTAATGTAGTATATCTTCAGACACACAACTTCTTATTTTATTTAAACATATGACAAGTTTTTTATAAGAGTTTTTTGCTATTTTTAAAAAAGTAAAATAACTAACATTATAGTATATCACGTTTAATTTATCTAAGTGAAATAAGTCAAGAATAATTTATATAAGTAATATATGAAGCATATGAGCAAATATTTCTTCTATAAATGAAAAGATATTGATAGTGCATGCTATATGTATATATCACTCAATAATGTATATTATTGAATTTAATTTAATATTTGAATCATATAAATTACATAAAACTGACTCTGATAACTATCAGAGAAGAGCGTGTATCATTTTATAGACACCACTGTTTCATCCGACACGAGCGACATTGAAGGAAGAATAGAGTTGCTAACAGAGAAATTAGCCGAGAGGCGAATAGAGATGTCACGGTTGAAGAGGGAAGCCAGAAAGCAGACGAAGCAGAAACTTCGGGCTTTGGAAGCGAATTTGTTGAATCAAATTAAGGTAAACAATTCATTAGTCTTTTAGTGACATGTTTTAAGTATTACACGTGCTGAATAACTTCTTGTTTATGAACAGAAATATGATACGACTATTTATGAAATGCGCAAGAAATTGGAGTTGAAAAAGGGAGCTTCTAGAGACAGTGATAAATTAGCGATAGAATCAAGATCGTTGGCAGACTTTAAAGTACCTGAGATTCCCTTGAAGAAAATACAAGATATATTTAAGAATAGCGATTTATTGAGATCCAGGTCAGAATCCGATTTATTCACCACGAGAAGATTACTGGTAAAGGATCCCACGATGCATATTAATTTATTACGAGGCGAAACCGTCGAAGCTGAGTATGATAAAAATCATTTAGAGAGAATGATCAAGTCTTCTAGAAGCGTAAGAACTTCGGAGCAATTGAGCTCCGCAAAAATGAGCACGGTTAATCGCAGTGCTCAGTCTGTTTTCGACGAGAGTATATCGGAACAGATTGAAGTCGATAAAATTGGTTCTGCCTCGATGTCATCAGTTTCAGATGAAATACGCTCTGAGAAGAATCTTCCTTATGGAACTAGACACTACATCGATGAGATACAAAGCAGACAAAGTCTATCCGAAGCAAAGAAAAGTAGCATCTCTGGAGATGTTAAAACCGAAATCAGCGCATCGAAATCTGAAACAGAGATACTCACACAATCGGAAACTAACCGTTCTAAAAATGAAATTACCATTCAGTCGGATTTGAAGGAATACAAATCTGATTTTGACACGTTCTCCGAACAGTCTCGAACTAGAACCATTTCGTCGCAATCTGGAGGTAATGAGGCTAAACGTATCGAGTACTCGCATATTTCTTCGAGAGGATCCAACGATGCTCAAAGTTCCGGTGAGGAAATCAACACTGAATCTGCCAACGTGACTGACTTTTCTAAAAAAGTGGACTTCTTACGTTTGAATAATCAGAACTTAAATGAGGATATAAGCTCGTTGGAAAATGAGCTGAAAATACTATCAGAGATGATGATGACGCGTTTTAATAAAAAGCCAAACGAAGAGACAAAGTATGAGTTACAAAATAAGGAGAAAAGTACGTCGAAAGATATATCAGAGATACTTTCAAAAACGGAGAAGGACGATGAAGTTTATGAGGTGGAGATTATGGAAGAGGATAAGGGCAAAGATGCTGTATCAAATCAAAAGGACACCGATTCTGACGTTTCGCAGTATTTGACGAACGATATAAAGTTAAAATCACTCAGTAACCTTAATAACAATAAGAGTATAACGGAAGGAGTTGACAATGTTATGTCCGCTATAATACAACAAAATAAAGTGTCTCTTTCGAATAGTCAAGAAATTGATTATAAGGCAAGAAGCAAGGAAATTTTGAACGAAATCGAGAAATCCATAATATCAGAACACATTAAGGTTATTGAGAATGATCCAAGTCGTTCTCAAGTGATGATCGAGAATAACAATTTAAGTCTGTATGAGAAAAATGAAAAAATATCGAATGGAACTTCTGCAGGAACTAATATTAGATCGTTATCTGAAATTCACACAAAAACGATACAGGATAAGGAAAGCATAAGCACCGAGGGATCTGAAATCTTATATTCTCCCGAAGAAAATGTCGAAGAAAATTATGCTGATTCACATAATTTTGAAAGTCATAATTCATTAGAGTCAAGTAAAGGTACTTTGATACCATCAGAAAAATCTAACTTACTTGAAAAAGATGATAAATCTTCGAATCAGTATACAGATATTGATCACAGTTCGATAATAAACGATGTACTTATTGCACAAACTCACTCAGAGAAGAGTGACGTAACTTCTAAACAATTTTCGCACAGTGTTGCAAAGCAGGCGATAATTACAGAATACGTTAATAAAATATTGAAACAGCAAATTTCTCCGCATTCGTCGAGTTCAATTAAAACAATTGAGAGTTTCAAAGAATTAACAGATTGTGCAAAAGAAGCAGAAAATGATAAATTCCAAGGTATAAATGATGCGTGTCCGACTTCAATAGCACAGGACTTTGAATTGCTGTCGAATAAATCCAGAGAGTTCAACGATAATAACACACTTGATCATGCTGTAAGCATTAACAGAAAAGAAATTAGTAAAGATGAGAGTCAGGTACAAGAAGCTTTTGTGAATGAAACTACTTTCAATAAAGACGACTGGACCATATCGGATTCGTTTGATATTCAACAAGATGTTGCTAATTCTGCATTAGAGAAATCACCAATTCAGAATTCTAAGTTATTCAATGATGACTCAAGCATATTCCTACATACAAAAGATATATCTCATTCAGATGACTCTAAAGATGAAATTCTTAGAAGAAACACGATTGATGATGTGGGTGATGCATCTCTATTTATTCCAAAATGTGAATCCACAAATATCGATATTCGTGGAACGAAATTTGATGAAACAGTATCAGATTCTCGTATTGAAAAGACTGATGAAAAAATTGAGGATATATTGGATATAATAGCTAGAGACAATGACAAAGAACAGAACGAGGAAGAAAATATACACAGTATAGAAAGTGATGAATTCCAAAGGGCTATTTATGATTCTGTAACTAAAATATTGGATAAAGTTGAAAAAAGTATCGAGGACAGTTCAATCAGAGAAAAAATCGAAATCCACTCAGATGTTATAGGGAATAAGAACGAAATAAAAACAGTAGAAGCATTAGATGAAGAAAGAAAATCAGTTTCAAGTAGCCTTAATTTACAAGATAAATCAGTAGAAGAAAATGAAGTGAAACTGGATGAAGCTGGTAAAGAAACTGTTTCCCTGAACATCGGTAGCGATAAGAATATCAATGAAGATAAAACAACTAATAAAGTTCATACTGAATCTGTTATAGACGTAGATGTACATGTCGAGGTTAAAGATGATGAGGATACGTGTCACAGTGAAACGAAATCTCGAGAAATTGTTATAACAGAGTTAGAACCGGGAAGTGTAGAAAGCGAGAGTTTATCAGAGCTTGAGATTGACGTTAAAATAGAATTAGCAGAGGAGGAACCCATAGATGCAAATAAAGGCAAGGACACAGTGGAGACACAAGAAGAGGACGTAACTGAAGAGCAAATATGTTTGGAGCCCCTAATAGAACAAGATAGTTCGGATGGCGAACAACTTGACAATTTAGTCGAAGTGACTGAAAGTAGATTGGACATCATAGAAAAGGAAGTTAAGCGTTCTATAGATTCTGTTACTGAACCAGAATCGATATCACACGATAAAACAGATACTCAAGCAATCGAAGTTCGAGAAAGTGAAGCACAGAGCCAAGAAAATGCAACACATTCTATGATTGTAAATGACGTTAAGACAGCAGAAAATACTGAACTAGTGGCATCCAATGTATCGCCACATGTAGTGAATAAAACATTTGATATTTTGAAGGATCCTGAATATGAAGATATCTCGGAAGAAAGTCTTGAAGTCTCTGAAATCTTTGATAAAATTGAACTTCAGAAATCTACTACCGTACAAAAGTCATCTTATGTACCAGAAAGATACGAAGCGATACAGAAGTCGGAAGAGGTGCTGAAGATACTCGATGAAATTACGCAAAAATCTTTGACAAGTTCCGATATTAATACAAATAAATTTCAAGACAATAAGCACTTTTCTGAAGATAGAGAAAAGTCACAAACAGAACTTTCTAATAAAGATAGCATTGTATTTTCAAATGTTGATGCTCATTTTGTGGAAGATATTAATAAGAAAAATGAACAGCTACTGGTAGATAATTTAGAAGATGAACAATGTAAGGCAATAGTACCAGAAGGAGAACATCAATTAATAGAAACGATAATTAGTTCAAATGCAACCGAAGAAAGAGAGAAGCAGGAACAGGATGTGTTATCTGAGTCAAGCGAAGACAGAGATACGCCAAAAGGAGTATCGGAAATTGAGATGGATTCTCCCAGAGATCCTAATGATTCGAGATTGGACCTTGATGCATTAAACGATGATTTGCTGAGCAATGCTAATGTGGATAATCAAAGCGTAGATTCGAAGAACACATTCCATGCTACACCCATTGTTGCAACATCTGAAAAGGATATAGAGGTCATGATAGACAAGTTGAAAGGTATAATTTTTATTTGCGTGTAATCTTAATTTTTAAGTCATTATAAAGTTAAGATTATGTAATGTGTGAGTTTGCTATAATTCTACTTGAATTTTATTAAAAATGCGCTTTTACACATTTACTCTATAATTGGATGGTATGTCTTTTATATTTTTTAAATAGTTTTTTCTTTTTTTCAAACAGAACTTTTCATATTTAATATGTGTATAAATTTAAAATCATGTTAAAATTGTCATTGAGTTTTAAATTGTATTGCTACTGAATGAATATATGTGTATGTAGTGGATAAATATTTTTAGAGTATGAATCTTATTATTAGATGCAGCTGATTAAGTTTGAGTTAGTTTCAACATCATTTGTATAATTGTAACTATAAAGGATAATATACTCCCGCATATTGCGTACATTACAGAGACACTGATTCTGATTTTTATATTGGCTGTGTATTCCTGTGCAAAGCATTGCCTCGTATAGCCATGTATTGTTTATTTTCAGAATAGCAAAGTCCAGATAATAATTACTTAAAGGTAATACAACACGAAACTTTGAATAAAACAAACATTGACTTGTTCTTTTTATACAAATCAGTGTTGCATGAGTGCTTTATTTGTAATTATTGATTTCAATATGCACAAGGAAAGCCTGTAAATATTGTGCAACGTAACGATATAAAACATTGTATCTCCTGTTTTCTTTGAACATTTTTATAAGGAAATTACTCTTGTACACATACACACAAACATACAAGCAAACACACACGTACACAAACACACATGGAATGTCTAATTTTATCACAGCTTTATCCTGTTTTTACTAATGCATCAGAGCATTTTTTTTATCCATACCTGGATGTTTTTTTTTAACTATCAAAGCACCTAATTGAAGTGAAATGTGAACTCGTAATGTAAAGATTCGTGTTGCTTTTCCTGGACAACTTATCTGTTAAACTTTTCACAAATTTATATTATTTCTAATTTTTATTTGCATAGCATCATTGGAGCAACCTGGCGTCGAAGTTGCAGATTGGGAAGCGAAACTGCTTCGCATTGAACAACTACAGATCGAGTTAGAGGTAAAAATGAATTTTTGTTATTCCATTATATCTTTTAACATAAGGGCTGTTTTTTTTTAAATATACACATTTTATCATGATAGATTAAGAAATTGGAGGCAGAAGAGGTATCTTACTACGTTAGAGAAATACCTAACAAACCACCGCCTCCTTACACACCACCCGGTGGTGGTGCTAGAATTTCAACATCTCTTGGGTCACCTTCTCCCCCTCCAGCCGTAATTCCTTCGAACATAGAAGAATTGACGGCGTTCACCGAAAAAGCCACGGCGATAATATTTAAAGCCAAAGAGGCTGGAGAAGACATTATGAGCTTGGAAGCTCCTCCCGAAATCTGCGAATTAACCAAAGAGAACGACGAGACTGTGAAGAAGGACAGAAGAATCTACAACACATTCCTCTTTGATCTGTGCAAAGAAACGATCGCAGAGGTTTATCAGGCCGAATATGAGAAGCCAGGTCCTAGTTGGACAAAGCCAAACGTGAAAACAAAACCTATAATGAAAGTCCCTAGAAATATAGAAGAGCTTAACGCCTATGTGAATAAAGAAGTGGCCACGTTGTTCGGCTTTAAGACGAGATTACAACGGGAAAACATGGTAATGCGTTGGAGTAGAAAACGAAGAGACAGGGTCGATGAATTGTTAGCTAGGGAAGCCCAAGCTGAGGAAGATGAATGGACGAAATTCCATCACGATGAACTTGCAGTAAAGAACGGTCTTACTGTAACTATATTGGATACTCTGCTAATGGAGACTGTGAACGTAGTTAAAGTGGCGTACGCGAAGAAAAGAAAAGTAATGGTTTAGTTCTTTTTTTTTCCTTTTTTTACAACTAACGACTGAGATATACATAAATTACAAGACAATCGTTTTATCACAAAAGACGGATATATTTTTATTTTGAAATTCTGTAAATTGGTCCGAACTGCCATATTTTTATTCAGTTTACCGAGTAATTAATTTTTATCTATTCGCGCCCTGTATATGATCTATAGGCTGGTTCCTATTTATTTCTTTGATAAATCGTTTGCTCTTTAATAGCGAGAAAACCTAAATGAATACTTCGCCGTAATAGAATTCAAATGGTGTAGCGAGTTCATTTTATGAACTTTAATAATCGTAAAGAATATATATAACTTGTCGCTATCAACGTATAGAATTCGATAATCAAACATCATAGGTTCGTTTTGTTATAGTTAATAATTATTAAAGCATGTAGCATATAAGTATACTGCAATTTATATTCACATATATTGGGATATAATAGCATACTTAATATAAGAATACCGTTAATATTTACTCGTAAGGAGAATACATAGTTATTGGTTTGGTAACTCCGAGCGTTTTGTTCGAGTAGTTCTGCTAATAATGTTGTCGATTTGTTGCGGGGATAACCAAAGATTTCCAACCCTACAATGATACATACCATCCAGGCCAAGGTATTCAATTGGCTATTCTTAAGGTGTCTTGCGTTTAAGGTATCAATCTTTCTTTTCTAAGTTCAAATGACAAAACACCTCCTTTAATAGTGGATGATCCACTTTTCCACACTGAATTTAAGTAGCCTACAATTCAACGTAAGGTCATGAATCAACCATCTTGCGTTCTATCGCACCAAATTTGGTTACTTTACCTCGGATTTTGCTGTCTCCAACTCCACTATCTTCCTCTTTAACTCTTCGATCTTTATTGCAAATGCTAAAGAACGTACCTTTATGTTTCTCGCATGACAATTTATCGCTGCGATCTTATACTTAAAACTGATTACAAGTTCTAAGTAACAACGATGCTGGCCCAAATACGGTTTCCGCTAATAACATTCTTGGTTTAACTTGATTTGTTCGAGTAATGTTTCCAAGTAATATTGTTTTATACATATTGTTTTTAATAACATGTTCCTTACTTGATTTTTCTTTTTTTTATATTTTATTATAAGTATGTAGATGTTAAGTTTATTTTCGTACCGACACTTATGTAATAAGTAGAATTAATAATTGCAACTTAAGTGTAACGTTTTAATTGAGATTACTCGAACAAGTGTTTAACGAATATTCGAACAAAACGCTCTCATGGTTATTGCGTATACCTATAATAGTTGCGTTATAGAAGTCTACGGCTGTGGAATGTAGATAGTATGTTCTCACTGGGTCGTATCGGACTTCGTAGAATTATGCTCAACTATGTATAATAAAATTAACAAAATTTCAACCAAAAGACTGATACTTTGGGGCCATCTCGATCCAAATTGAAAATAAAAAGAAACATTTTAAGGAGATACGTAATTACACGTATAGCAGGTAGTTAAATGTTGGTCATGAATTGGCGTTGAAAAAAGCTCTCCTAGTTGGTTAATTTGCAACGAAGAGATAGCTTCGCGTTTTCAGTGTAGCCCCTTTATTACATAAGAACGAATTATACAAATGTAAAAAAAAAAGAAGAAATGAATATTACATTTGCGTTATCATCTGCAACGTGTTAATGAACTGATAATTCAGTTACACGTATCTTAGTCTGTTGGCAATATGTCGCACTTAAGTTTACGTTTGCGGTTGTGATGTTGATCTAAATACCCACGAAACGATACAAGTGACATGTTTTAATAATCGTATGAAAGTACAGAAGTGATAGAGTGAATGGAACATTAGCTTTAATTGTCACGAATTGTCAGTTTTCAATGCTGTGACGAGTTCAAGTGTTTAACCGATCTATCGCACGTCTTTTCAAGAGATCGTAGACTCTGGTCTTTTAATATGTGAACCTTCGAAACTTTTGTGTGTTTTAAAAATGTACATAGCAATAATAAGGTTCAAACGTTTAGAGTGCTAGGCTTTTTCTATGTAGAAAGTTCTACCAATCTGTAATAACTGTCGTCATTAATAGTTTTTTTTTTTTTTAAGTCTTTCGTCTGTTATGAAGGAGATGCGACTTTCTTTTAATTTCCGTGTTGTCCAGGTCCCATTTTTTGTTCGCGGCCAGCTCGGAAACCTGAGACTGCTTGCACCCGTAGTTGTTATACATAGATATTGTTCACGTACGTAGTGTTGAATATGTACTTAACTAAGGTATAATATATTTTATAATAAATTTTTTGAAAAATTTACAATGATTCTCTTAGTATTTGAATAAAAGGAAAAGGACATATTAAATAAAGAAGAATTCATAAATAATGAGTAACGCAAAGAAGAGTTTGTTTTACAGAAAATAAGTATTATTGTGTAATTTAGCATACTTTATTTTTTTATGTTTATATTGGTAGTATCTTTAATGAGTAAAATATGTTATTTAAGAACGAAAAGGTGGTGGAAGAAAAAATCATAGAAAAGAGAGATAAAGAGACAAAAATATGATGAGGGTTTATACAATGCAAAATAATGTTAATTATAGAACTAATATATAATTCGTAATTTTTGCTTAATTTTCTTATCACCATGTAATAAAACATACTAATTACAAGGTTTAATAAATTGTTTATTAGTATTAATAAATTATAACATTTTCTCTTGTTTTGAAATCATTTTTCTTGTTTTTCAAAGTATAATCTAAAAATTGTACAATCATATTTTAATATAAAAATTGAGTTCCTAATTCCTAAGTGCACAACATTTGTCATGATTTATGTATATTTTTTCACTAACATCATTTGATTATCATCATAATACTATTTAGGCAAATCTGTTCAGGTTAATGTAATTCATGTATGACATTGATAAGTTTTTCAGTTTATCATTCAGACTTTGAATGATAATCATTTACAGTCAGTGTTCTCTTATTGCACTAATAATTCGCACATAAATATTACATGTTACTTCACATATTAAATTATAATTACTGGATTTAAAAATTTATCGTAATTAAACTGTTAAACAAATTATCCGAATAAATATATTAAATCAGTGATATAATTTAAATATTTTGTAATAGAGGAAATTTATCTAATTTCAAAGTTCAAAATTACATAAACGAAGGTGATAAAGTAAAGAAAAAATAGACCTATAGTTCCAGGAGCAAGTAACAATCCTAGTCTTGATAAATACGTGAGTTTTACAGAAATTATTGTTATAAAATAAATAATATATTGCTTTTT